CTTTACACGCCACTCGCTTATTGCTGTTACCCACAAGTTCCTGAACAAAATAGTTATATCAAAAAAAAAAAAAATTGATCGTCATAACTAATACATGCATAAATTTACATTCAATAATTAATCCGCGGTTTTCCACGTAAATCAACTGAGAATCCCCTTCTTGCTGCTTTGAATTTCTTTTTCTTGATTGCACACCGTAGCTTTGACGCCCACTCGTCTGTATTTATGTCTGTGAAGTACCGTGCGAGTGTTCCAGAATGCGATCCGATACACATAACAATACTAATGTTGTAATTCGTAGATGTAAAAAAAAGATTATAGTATATATTAAGTTAAAATATTTTTTAAATGGTATACTTTTTATTATTTGTATATCAACTTTATTTTGCACATAATACTGATGACGTAATTCGTAATGTAAAAAGATTATATTATATCTGAAGTTAAAATATTTTTAAAGACGGTATACTTTTTATTATTTGTATATCAATTTTATTTTGTGCATAATACTAATGACTTAATTCGTAAAATGTAAAAAAGATTATAGTATATTTTAAGTTAAAATATTTCTAAAGATGGCATACTTTTTATTATTTGATTAGTAACTTTATTTTGCTTTCAAGAAAGTTAAGACTTTTCAGGATACAACTGTGGTACAAGGTCACAACAAATAAAAATTTGCCTAAATCGCCCAGTAAATATTTGTGAAAAATCTGCAACTGAATACTGTGAGTGCTTGAAATCTTATAGATAATATCGTCATACATTTTCAATCGATATCATAAGGCAAGATATAGTTTTCATATCTTTCATAATATTAATATCTGGATGTGTCGCATCGAAGTCAATAAAATTTCTGCTTTATGTAATATAGTATGAGAGTAATATGTTTCGGAAACTTAAAACAATTTATGTTAGTTAAGGGAAATATTTCAATTTTCACGCGCTCTTAATCCCAGCCGTTAGTAGTATTACATAACTTTGGTTGGAAATGAGTGGACTTGAAAACTTGTAGTAAATTCCACATGTTATTAATTCGTAAGTGTTACATCAAATTATTATTTCTACTCCCTTGCACTTTAAGGTCTAGGTTATATATACCTATTTTAATAGAAATACTACGTTAAAATTTAAACTTAAATAAAAGCAAGATTAAGAAAACCATTTTTTTTTCAGTTATTTAAAAGGAGTAAAACACTGTTTTTGTGCAAAAGTGGCAATGAAAAAAACCTACTCAACTATATGTACTTGAAAAGCATATTTAAAAACTAATCATACAAAACACTCGGACTTTCGTCAGGATGACGTATACTCCCAGTGAGTAAAGCACTTGTTTTGTTTTACAATACAAATCCGTTAAGCAATAAAAAAAAAAACACAAGATGAATTAGCGTATATTTTGAAAGCCTGTTATCCGTTTAATTTAAAAGGGCTTTGCTTTCTTTCTCACTTACCGTGTTTGAATAGGGTTGAGCACCTAAGCGGATCCCTTCTCTAATCAGCTTGTCTCGAATCATCTTTTTAAGCTGGATTTTCGGAAGTTTAATAAACCCCAATTTGTTCTCTTCGTATTCGTGTGAAATTCTACTGGAGGCGCAACCATGCACCGACACGAACGCTCCGCCGCAACAGCCGTAGCTCCCCGATACCTCGGTCGTAACCTTGCTAGACACCAACCTAGGTTTAATAGATGTGACTGGGTGCATCGTGGACAAGTAGTTTGGTGAAGACCCATCGTAGAAAACATCCGAGTCAACAGTAGATTTCCTCTGTTCTTCTACAGTGAAATAAACTGCAGACCCCCCCTGTTCTAAAAGTTCTCTCACGGCACGAAGGATTTGTTGACGATGAAGGTCATCGGTTACACCTATAGCGTCCAGGTCATCCTCTCCAATTTGTTTGCATATTTCTAGGTCGTCGTAGCCGTTATCCAAGAAGCTTTCGGCGTACTGATTCAGGTTAAAAGAGCGTAGCCACTCTTCTACGATATTTCCCTCTGTCATATCAACTACTCATTCACCGGAAAATATTGCTACATATAGTCTAAGCCAGCTTCGATGCCGATTACCTCTGACGAAAACGTCCTCGCTGTAACATTTCCGTCTCAACTGTAAGAAAACGCTAACCACTCTAAGCTTACAGGATACAGACAGCTGGCTCAGACGCATGCGCATGTCACGTACCCACACAGTTCTGCCGAAATCGGTATGCATTTCAAATATCAACTTTAGTATTGGAAACCAGAATTTGCTCATAAAAATGGCAAAGTTGTTGCTTTAAGATTGGGATGCGATTGGCAATAACTCAGAAGACGTAAATGGTTCATCAATTGAAATATATAATGAAATAAATATATTTCTTCGGACGTTTTAACATACACGAAAACTTGTGACAAAAATATTTATGTCAAATGATTGTCGTTGTTTTATTAGGGCAAATCTAAAGAATGGGCTATACGCGCTCTGTCCACCGCGGGAAATCTAACCCCTAATTTTAGCGTCGTAAGTTCATAAACTATCCGTTGACCCACTGGGGTCTATGTTAAATAGTACTTGGTGCAAAAGATATTGTCTATCATCGTCATCTCGGAATTAACTATAGTGATTTTTTTTTGCGTGTTATCCTAAACTCCACAACGTAATTCGAACACACATAAAAAGAAAAAAGAAGAAGTAGTAGTAGTATCGGCTTAAAATGCTAATAATACTGTTACGACAGTGGAAGTCACGTGACTCTAGTAACACATCATGCACTTCTTGAACGTTCACGTCCCTTCCTGACTTTTCGAGAGCTTACTAGATTCGGTATTCTTGTACATATAAGACGGTCAAGACGTGACGACAACAATGTGTAATTGAACTGAGGACAGAGAGAGAGTATTGTTGAGTGGAGCACGTTAGACGTTCGTTGTGAATTATAGCGTTTGTTATAGCGCGACTGTGGAAATTAAGTGTATTGCAAAGTTGTACTCAGAATGAATAAACCAGTTTTATTTAAGAAAGGACTTGTATCACTAAAGTTTCTTCGAAAAGAAATTATACGGAAAATTAACTAACGAACAGAGGCGTAACAAATTGGTGTCAGAAAGTGGGACAGAAAATAAAAAAGAAGAAGATGGAAACGAGAGGCAGAGAATCAAACTACAGTTTAGCATATTTAATGGCAGCAATACAAGAACGGCAAAAGAAACAAGAAGAACGAGAAAATAAACAAGAAGAGAGACAACAGCAGTTGCAAGAAAACCTGCAACAATGGCAGCTCGAACAACAAAATAAACAAGAAGATAGATTACAGCAGTGGTTGGAGGAAAAAGAAAAGAAACAAGAAGAGAGACAACAGCAGTTGCAAGACAACTGCAACAGTGGCAGCTGGAAGAGCAAAATAAACAAGAGAGGTTACAGCAGTTGTTGGAGGAAAAAGAAAAGAAACAAGAAGAGAGACTACAGCAGTGGCAACTGGAACAAGAAAGGAAACAAGAAGTACAAACGGAAAACATTAGTAAATTTAAAAGCGAATTGAATAAGGGGCTGATTAAGTCGATGGTTAATGTATCCTCCTTGTGTAAAAGACAATAAATCATCCTTTAATAAGATGTCTGCATTAGGGTTTAGCTGCGGGGTCTGGAAGGGGCTTGTCATTGTCTCCAGTCCTGTTAGAAGTCACATCCCAGATATGAATGTCAGCAATAGGGTTGATCCGGTACGAAGGAAGCCACAGGAATTCGATGGGAAGGCACCGTGGGAACATATAGAGCACAATTTGAGCTACTGGCAGAAATGAATGGATGGACAGGGGAGCAGAAAGCAGTATATCTGGCAACGAGCTTGAAGGGACAACCACTGGAAATACTTGGACAGTTGTCAGCAGACAGGCACAACTATAGAGCACTGGTAGCGGCTCTAGAACTCAGGCACGGAACCAAAAATCAGTCTGAAGTCTACAGGGCTAGGTTT